GCCAAGAATACATTTAGAGCTTCATGAAAACAGCGCCAGCATTTCTTTGTTTGAATAGCGATGTGCTTGGCCCAGTGACAACTTGTAGCATTTTCCTCATCACGTACCAAGGTTCTTGACGACATCAGAAGGGAAATCAAGCCAGGGGCAAGTTCAGGGTGAAGAGGATCTTCCTCAAGTAGGATAAGAGAGTAAACATTGACTGCTTTACTCTGTTCTCTTTCTCAGGCATCTGTGGCTCCTGTGCGATGAACATTGCTGGTGGAAACACTCTGGCTTGTACTAAAAAAATTGACCCTGATCTCAGCAAGATCACTAAAATCTACCCTCTCCCCCACATGTATGTGGTGAAGGATCTTGTTCCAGTAAGTATCTGCCTTCTTCATCTTGTGACCAATGCTGACGCCATTCCAGACAGCATGGGGTTCAGGTTGGATTAGAAGGGATAATGTTGGGAGATGGCAACAAGATCACGACCCACAATTCACGTCTGAGCTCCTCTTGATGCTCTCTGGCTTGGGTGGGTCTGCTTACCAGTGGTGACTAAATCTAGCCTCGTTAGGAGGAATGCGGCAGGCTGACGTACAAAATACCTCCTTCTCTATGAATGACAACAGATGTTCAGTCTCTCAGACATCAAGTGTGATCTTTTTGCCTTTTGTCTCCTAGGACTTGAGTAACTTCTACGCACAGTACAAATCTATCGAGCCTTACCTGAAGAAGAAGGATGAGTCGAAACAGGGCAAGGAGCAGTACCTGCAATCCATAGAAGACCGTCAGAAACTGGTTACCCTTTGTTAAAATTATTTTTACCATGAAAGTCCCTTCCAGATAAGACCAGGGTTAAACATTAATGTGCAGTAGCGTCTAGTTCCTTTAATGACAAAACTGTCTGTTACAAAGCCTGATGTGGGTGGAAAGCGCTCCCTGAAATGCAGTGCTGTGGCACGTCTGCATTGCTAGGGGTAACATTTGCTAATGACATGCAGAACACAGTTGTGCTGGGAACTCTGACCTCATTTCCACTGTCTGTGCTGCAAAACTCTGTCTTTGTAAAAACACTGTGAAGGGCAGAGGCTTGTAATACTCACGTAGAGATCTGGCAATGCTATTTATGCTGGGGAGTAGTTTGTCTAACGCAGCGCTGTCTGCGTATCTGACTCCTAAGCAGCACTGTCCTGTTGCTGCACGCTGGGTTTTACAGCCCTGAAACTAATGGCAAAAGCTGAGCCTGTAGAGGTGGGGGGGGGAAGCTTTTTGAAGAGTTTATAGAGCAGGTAAGTTAGTGTCTGGATTTTTCTGGCTCCTACAGTAAGTGTTGATAAATTGACAGTTTCTCTTTTGCCTCTGACCTGTCTTGATGGATCATTTGCTCGACAGTTTGAAGCTCGGCCTGTCAGTGCAGTGATTGTTGCTGCAGTATTGTCAGTGAGTAGGCTCACAGTGGGCAAGCAGCCTAGATTTTGGCAAGTGGTGAAAGGCATGAGTGTGAGCAACACAGAGGAAGGCTGATTAAAGAGGATATAATGAAAACAGATGAGCTGCAGCCTAATTGCAGCGATCTTTGAAAGTTGCCCATTATGTGCGTTTGCTGTGACATCTAACATCTGATGAGCAGACGTGTCATGTGCCGAGGATGTCAGCAGCACGATACAACTAGCTGTGTGCTGTCCTAACAACCCCAGGATTTTACAGTTTGAAAGAATTTCTTTCCAAGGGCGACAGTTAATTCTCCTACACCACTTCATAATGTTATCTGATGGCACATGTAAGGACTTCAAGGGATTCTCTCAATGATTTCTTAAAGCAGCATCTTTGAAGTCACTTTCTCATTTAAGTAAAAAAACAAACCGAAAAGTAGCTGCAAGAGCCATGTGAATCTTCCTCATGATTAGTAATGTTTTTTATCTCCTTACCAAAGCTTCTCTTGCATTCTCTTGTATCCAAGCACACAGGCATCTGAAAAATTCTTACCTTTTCCTCATTGGGACAGGCCGAAAGCAAAGAATGCATAAAAATCCAGAATTTCTGCACTTGTCTCTTCAAGTTCTGCACTTCTGTGTTTGACCGTGGTCTCTCATCTGTGTGCAGGATGGACTCTACGAGTGCATCCTGTGTGCCTGCTGCAGCACCAGCTGTCCCAGTTACTGGTGGAACGGGGACAAGTACTTGGGTCCTGCTGTTCTCATGCAGGTAAGGACAGATCCTGGGTGTCACGGGGAACTGCTGAGGGACTCCTCATTTAAAGGCAGCGCAGCTACCTGTGACACAGTGTGATATCAGCGTCCCTGGAGGAGTTCAAGAAACATATAGATGTGGTACTGAGGGATGTGGTTCGGTGGGTACAGGGTGGGGGTTGGACTAGATGATCTTAAGGGTCTTTTCCAACCTTAATGATTCTTCGATGGAGTAGTGGACCAGAATTCCTGAGTTAGGTGTTGGTTTTAAGATACAACACTGATTACTTCACCTTGGGAAATCATTTGGTGTGTCAATGACTTTCAGGCCTATCGCTGGATGATTGACTCCAGAGATGACTACACAGAGGAACGCCTGGCACAACTTCAAGACCCATTTTCTCTCTACCGTTGTCACACCATCATGAACTGCACGAGGACTTGCCCAAAGGTAAGTGTTGTTCCTGACGTGTCCCTTCTGCAGTTGTTTGCAAACTGGTAGGGAAATGCCAGTGGTAGGTTTTGTTTTCTTCAAGCTCTGGTTGAGTTTTTCCTTTCTGAAATGGTGAGTTATCAGCAGTCATGTTTGCAGTAGTGACTGTGCAAGAGAATATGACAGAGTTCACACTACATTACACATCACAGAAATGTCTCTTCCTCGTGATTTTGAGAACCTGTTTCCAGGATTTAGGTATGTCTCTGTAACATGCTGTTTGTGTGAGGGACGCTGCCAGAAAGCCGATGGGGGACATAGTCTGATCAGCGATGTAATACCTAGAACCCCAGCATAGTGCTGGCTTACACCTGGTCTCGCACCCCAGCAGTAGCAGCTGTTCTGATGTATTGTGCAACTTGCATAATAGAGAAGGTGACACCAAGTTTTCAGTGCCGAGGGGAGTGTGTTTTATGCTGACATCCTGCCAGAAGGGCATTTCCCAGGTCTGTTTGTGGTATTTCTGCTGAGAACTGAGAAAATTTTCTCAAATTAGAGCGTGCCTCTTTCTCTTCTTGCTGTAACCTTGTGCCTGTTGCTGGGTAGATAATTAAGTTTCATTTTCCTGCCAGCTGTATTGCTTGCACCTGATGGTAGAGTAAAATTCTTTCTGAGCTGTGAATAAGAAGGCAAACTTTTGAGTGGATCACGGATGTGGGAAAATAAGGTGCTTGAGATCTGGGCTGACAGGTGTTTGTTAGGAGCACTGCCATCTGGTTTTGTTTAACATGATTCACTGACTACGGATAAATCCCCCTTTTTACAGAGCAGATTATCATGCTTACATGTCAGCTGTAGTTCAGCTAAAGGTGAAGGTTCTGTTTGAAGACCTGACTGTACACAGTGTAGGGGTATAACTCACGAGGGCTTGGTCTGTTGATTTTGAGACGCGTCTGTGATTGATAATACATTTCCCTTAAAAGCAGCTTAAATCACGTCTCTTATCTCGATCAGCTCTGAAAAAGAGTCTGCGTAGTGAGCTGTGCTCTGGGGTCATTTCCTGCTCACGCTTTGTCTCATGCTGCTATCACAGTGCTATAAAAGGACATTTGTGATCTCCCCACTCTTGTTTTGAGATTAAGCGTGGTTGGCTTGCCAGCAGTACTGCAGGACTGAGGGCCTCTGCGATGCGACGTATGTTTGAATTGTAGGAAAACCTTGCTTTGAAAAGCTTGGTTGTAGCATCTTCATCTTGTGACTTAGTGGTCTTGCTGCAGTGCCCCGAGGATCCCTGGCAGCATTTGATGGAAGTGCAATACTAGACTGGGCTCCAGCTTTAAAAACTGGTTGCTGAGCCTGTCCTCTGCCAGTTCTTATGAACAACAGTATATCTGTGAGTTGAACACAAATTCAGTTGTGGGAAAACAGGGAGGATACTCAAGCGTGCTGATTTCTAAAGAAACTAGCTGGAACTTTCTCTCTGCAGGGTTTGAACCCTGGCAAAGCAATTGCTGAGATCAAGAAGATGATGGCAACTTACAAAGAGAAGGCAGCCACTGCATAAAGCTGTTCCCCGACTGGAAATGTAACACACAAACGTGCTTTACCTGGAAGTCACTTGCACTTGATTACACCTGGTTCCAGCAGGAATGTTGGTGTTTTTTCCATATGCTTGTGCGTACAATAAATACTGTAAAGAACAAGTTAAGAGTTGGTAACTCATTAACAATACGTAACTGATTCCTCTGCGTCCTCGGTGCACTGCCTTGTTGTTGAGGAACCCAGACATCTCATTTGCAGTTCCGAGTGCATCCAGTTACATGCAGACACAGCTCTTTTTTGGGAGCGGAGCCATTTTTGCAGTGTGGTTCAGGGTGCTGCACTGTCCGTATCTCCCATTATTGTGCCGTGCCTGGTCCCATGGCTGCACTATGCCCGGAGCTCAGCAGTTGCAGCCTGTGTGTCCCCATGGCTGCAGTTTGCATTCATCAAGGGTTGCAGCCTGTGTCCCTGCTATTGCATCGTGCGTAGCGCCCATGCGTTGCACGCTGCGCTTCCACTTCTTCACTTCTGTTTTTTTCCTCTGCATTTTGGAACGCAGTGGCGACACGCAGCGGTGAGAGCAGAGAGACGCCACTTCAGCTGATCAGCAGACTGACGGCCATAAATCTCGGAGGAGCAGCAGAGCACTCGGTTGCTGTCCTGGGGGGTACCTTTAACTCCGGGCGATCAGTGCTTCCCTCCACGCTGCGCTCCTCAGTGCCGTGCGGAGCAAACCGCCCCCGGCACAAAGGACGCACGCGGAACGTCCCGGAAGGCCGCACCGCCTGGCCCCCTGGGGCGGCACTCCGCCCGGAAGTCAGCCTCGCTCCCGTCTGCGTGAGGGCGGTGCCAGGCGAGGCGTGTCGGTGGTTTCCAGTCTCACCGGAAGTACGTAATCGTCCCGCGACCGCAGGAGGGCCGCCGCCATGGTGCAGCTCGGTGAGTGACCGCGGGCGCAGCCTGCCGGGCTGGGGGCGGCCCGTGACCGCCTCGCGCTCTCCCCGCAGGTAGCGGCCTTCTGAAGAGCTATCGAGGCGGACATGTTGTCATCCGTTTCGCCCTCGGCGGCTGCACCAACCGGCCCTTCTACCGCATCGTAGCGGCGCACAGCAAACGCGCCCGGGACGGGAAGTACCTGGAGCAGCTCGGCTGCCTCGACCCGCTGCCCAACGCCCACGGCGAGAAGGTGGCGGGGCTCAACCTGGAGCGCCTGCGGCACTGGCTGGGCTGCGGCGCGCAGCTGTCGCGGCCCGCCGAGAAGCTCCTGGGTAGGTGCGGGGCGTTGGAAGGGCCGCGGAGTTGGTTCGCGTCGCTCAGCGCTTCTCGTTGCAGGCCTGGCGGGGTTTTTGCCGCTTCACCCCATGACGATAACCAACGCCGAGAGGCTCCGGCGGCGGCGGCAACGAGCGCAGGAGTCCGTTGTGCCCCCTGCTGAGGGCGGCTCGCAGGAGCCCGGCGCTGCGGTCTGAGAGGCGCCGCGGAGCCTCGCGTGCGCAGCGAGTGCCGTCCGTGCCTAAGACATTAAAGAGTGATTTGTGCCCTTCCTGTGCATGTGCTGCTCTCTCCCGAGTCGGCTCTGAAAAGTTAACAGCCAATTTGGCACGCAGCAGCGATGATGGGACCTTCCCTGCTATTGTGGAGCACAGAACCACCCCAGGAGGCACAGAGTTTTCCGTAACTGCACATCACAGCTTTCATTTGCTTGCAGCGCTTCTCACGTTTGATTCCTTGGCTCTGATGCAGCGCTAGTGCAGTTTGGTGATCCCTGAGCACAGGCAAACAAATGAACTGCATCTGCATTTCTGTTTTAGTTCCCCAGAGCAGTTCTGAACCCATTTGTTCTCTTAGGAGAACGAATCACAGGAGGTTTCTGACTCTGAAGACAGCTTAAGAGGGAGGGGGTTTTAGCAGGACAGATGTGCACCTCACTGCGTTAGCACACTGGTGACCCTATCCACAGGAAGTGCTGACAGGCTGATAACAGCAAAAAGAAAGTTATACATTTAAACATGAGCCTCCAGCATAGTTACTGATAGCAGCATTTGATACAAATGCTGTCAAACTCCCCATTCTTGTAAGGTTGGTAAACATTACTCACACAAGAACATGAATTTTCACTCTCAGGCTGTGATTTCCTGTTGGCTTCTCCATTTGTTGTCTTTTGTTGGAGACCATTGAATTCCTAGGAAAAAAAGATATACAGTTACATACAGCTAATATACATGGCAAATACTGCATCATCTCCATAGCTGACTTCTCAGTCTGCTGCTTCAGTGTACTGAAGTTTTGCATATGAACTAGTCTAACACTGCATACTTTCTTCCTGCCCCTGGAGTACAGGTGTGTTGCATCAAAGAGGCAGACTGACAGAGATGTCACCTTCATATTTTCTGTCAGTTATTGGCACTGTTTGGGTTTGGGATAATGATATTGCCTTTCAGATCTAATCTAAAGCTCCCTGCTGGGCATCCAGCAGCAGTCTGCAAGCACAGAAATTATCCCACAGTTACCATTTCTGCACAGCGTATTTTTGAAAGGAACAAAAAAGTAAAGTAAATGGGGCTTTTACCACTGCTTATATAGCGTATATCTGCAAGTCCAGCAGCTTATGCTGTTGTCTTGTGCCGTGAAATCTCACTGCAAGCCCATGAGCAGTAGCAGCTTCTGTCTGTTAAAGTCTCTGCTGCAGAAACAGAGGAAGAGACACAGCTGTTTTCTTAGCAAACATCAATGAAAACCTTCCAGGCTGAAAAGCCAGGTTAACTGCAGCAGTGTCTTGCAACCAGAGATACAGACATTTTCAATTTAGATAAATGGGTGCACGAGGTCTCCCCTGACATTTCTGCTCCAGAATCATACAGTTCTCAAGATATTTATCATAACCTGTGCAACCCATGATGTTGTGATGTTACAGCAACAGCTCTGCAAAAGTCTCTCTCTAAGGCAATCTTCCCGTCTAAGGAAGAGAAAAGATAATTTAAGAAAGCCACCTCAGACCTGAGGGCAATTTCTTATTTTTCCCTTTCTAATCAAGTGCATCTCCAATTTAGTACGTGATGATTACTTACGTGTTAGTAGAAAACAGCATTTAAACTCTTCAAGCAGTTCCCAAGAGAGGCTTTGGGTGTTTGGGCTTTTGGTGTCATTCTGGGTGCTGAAGGAGTGTTGGTTCTTCTTACAGTCCCCCTATTTTTTTTTCTCCTGGAAAATATCTTTTTCTTCTTTTAGAGATTCAGCAGAAGTTTCAGTTATTTGGGTCTCTCTTTTGAGGCATGGCAGAAGTTGAATGAACTACAGATAAACTGAAATGGTTACATCTAGCTTCATCACAAACATGAGACAACTCATTAGGCACTTCTTCCTTCTCCCCATTTTCCCTTCTGTACATGTCATATAAATACAGATATGAGCACCCACAAATCACTTCCATTAAGCAACCTTTAATTTTTATTAAGTCATTATCATTAAACTTTATAAAGTCTAAACTATGGCACACCATGATATCGCTTTCTTTCCTCAACTCTTCCCTCTTCCTTCTACCAGCAGCCAACAGCTTTAGACAATTTGAAGAGTACATTCCAAAAAGTAAACATCGTATTGCAGCTCAGTTCAGCAGTGACCACACAGTAATTTCTGTAAAACACAGCATGTATGACAAAGGAGAAGACCAAGCAAATAAGTAATTCCTGGTTTTGTTGTTGTTTTGTTTTTATGGATTTAGTGCAACTTCCAAGGAATTCTGCATCATGGACACCAACAACTAATGCATACCCAAACTAAGACACACTGATGTTGAGTTTAAAATAGAAAATGTTACATATATTCAACTGTGCAATGCACTTCAGCATAGCAATAGTTTTATAACTGTATGTAGATGTATTTCCTACTCTTATTTACAGAGGGAGGAGCAACAAACGTGACCATCAAATATAACAGAATATCCCAGGTTGGAAGAAACCCACAAGGATCCTTCAGTCCAACCCTTGGCTCTGCACAGCACCACCTGAAATTCAAACATTTTGTCTGAGAGCACTGTCCAGCTGCTTGTTGAACTCCCTCAGTTGGGCTGTGACCACTGCTCTGAGGAGCCTGTTCCAGTGCTGGAAAACACAATGATATATACATATTGACATACAGCTTGATAAATACATTGATTTTTTTTTCCCTTCTACTGTTTTTCTCTTTAAACATCCTTGTTTGCAACAAAATCATCTGAAATCCCAGCTATGTAGAAAAGGAAAGCGTTCACAATCCACTCAGTGCAACAATACTGTCTACAAAACTTAGAAGGAGAAAACATTTTGAGAACTAAACACCCCTTCAATAGAAACAAAACGATCATTTTTGAGTTCATAAGTTTGCTAAGACAAAGAATTGAAGGTTACACAGCAGACCAAAAAAATTTCCACAGTCATCTCTTTAGATTGTTGGAAATGAGGCACTCAGAAGTGCCAAACGTGCTGCTCATACACCAGGTCCAGTTTCATCCCAAACATTCTTGGGATAAGATGTCCCATAATGGAAGCTGCATGACACAGGTGTTCCTGCAGGTGTGACAGGGAGCCATGCTTTCCAAGCCAGAATAGATGGGGTCAAGGTGAACAGTCATCAGTCTGACACCCTCTGTCTCTGAATGCTTGGCTTCATAACTTCAGAAGCGTTCCTCCAGGGAAGTAAATACCAAACAGCATAGAACTGATCACAAAAAAAAGCGGGGAGCTGATAGTAAAAATGAAAAGTTCTTACACACATTGTTTTAAGCACTATAGTGCACCACAACAGCTAAAGATTATGCAAGTTATTTCATCTTGATATTGCACAACACGCATAAAAATAAACTTAGGTGAACAGTCAAGAAAACTCACTGAAAAAGGAATGGACTTCCAGAAAAACTGCTGCCTCTGTCCCTACTAGATAAGAACAAAAAGAGCCTCTAAAGGGGTGCCTGCACAGTACTCCTGAGCACTACAATGCTCTTCTGCCATGGGGAACTTTTGCATCCTACTTGAATGTGAACGCAGACTGACAAGAATCCTATAAATGGTTCTAGCTTACATGTTTTCACTTTTGTTCTTCAATTGAAAGACTGTAGAGATTACCTGCAAATTGTGTAAGATCTCAGGCATTTACTACCTTCCATAGCCAGAATAATTAAGAGTTTCCACAGGTAACAAAACACCTCCAGTCCAAGTAATAAGTCTCAGCAGTTTCACAGAGGTATGCAGGTGTAGCTCCAGCTGACAAATCACTACTTCCTAAGCAGATTTTAAAACATCAGAAGGTACAACTGTACAAAACATATGGATGACGTGCCAGTGGCTTCTGGCTTTCACATAAATGATTTCTCTTATATTCTTAACCTAATTGTGAGAATAAACTTCTACCCAAGGAAACTTGGCTCACAAAACCCCCTCCTACCCATCCTGCTAACTCAACATAAGCCATTACAGTGTCAAAGCCTAACGTAGGAGTATGCGCAGATCAGGAACCATCACTGTGGACCACAGTCAGAACTTACAGAGCAGGGTTTGGAGCCAGTCGCATCCCACAGCAGCTCCTTGGAGCAGTTCTGCTGGCTGGAGCTCGGTGCACACGGAAGCCCAGCCATGGGCCTTCAGAGTACTTGCATTATGCTCCGAAGTTCTGAAAAGCCAGGGCAGGGTCAGGTCTAACATGCGGAAGGTGAGACCCACGTGCTCCCTGAGTAGGGAGTAGGAGTTGTAGCCCTCAATAACCAAGGGCCAGGCAACTTCTGCTCGCAAAGCTGGTGGCACACCCTGGCCCTGGTCCTCCCACAGCAACGGAGCCCCACAGCTCACTGCCACCCAAGGAACCGGGATCCACCTGCCTGAGCACTGGTCTTCTGGGTCCCCCACCTCAGGTCAAGGAAACATTGTTCCCCCGAGGAAAAATGGCACTGTATGGCAGTTGGAGGGAAGGTCCCACACTGCCACCAATGGTTCCCACTGCTGTGACCACAAGTCCTGGAAACATAGATCAGCCTTTACCAACTTGTGAAAGATGCACAGTGCCAGGCACTGCCCTCCTGCAGGCAGGGGAAAGTTCAGTGAAACTGGCACACACCTTTTCTGTGGCTTCCTGTGCCCACTGCCAGCACAGTCACCCACAGCCCACCTCCAGTCGCTGCCATCCTAAGGGCACATGAGCCCACCTTACCATGATGGTTGAGGACAAGAATGGTGCAAGTGAGGTAGCCAAGGATGCAGCAGCTTCTCCCATTTATTGGTCCTGCACACAGGCAAGGAGCGGGCTCCGCTCCTCGTTGGGTGGCAGCTCCTCAGCAGACAGGGTTGGCTCATAGATGACGCAGAGAGAGGAGAAGAGGCAGCCCAGGAAGGACACCAGGCTGGCAAAGTACATGGTGCCGCTGGCGCTGCCCACAGCTGTCGTCAGTGGCCCCATGGCCAGGGCCACCAGGATCTGCGCCAAGAAGTACTGGCAGCTGAGCAGGGAGATGTCAACACCCATCCCACGCCGTGTGCCCTCCGTGTGCGAGCCTGCAAACTTCAGGGAACATAGTGTGAGGAGGTGTCACCAGGAGCCCCATTCCCCATCCTGCCTGGGGCTCACCTCACAGCTCTGGTAGTAGTCGCAGAGTAGGGAGTAGGGCAGCGTGCAGAGCGTGGCAAAGAGAATGCCATAGGTTGTGCACAGTGACAGGACTACATAGATGTTTCTGGAGAGCGTGGCCAGCCCTGTGCCCAGCCCAAAGGCCAAATATGCAATGAAGTACAGCGTCCGTGTGCTGAACCGCTCCTCCAGCTTCTCCAGTGCAGCTGCAAGACAGCAGAGCAGAAGTTTGCAATGAACCATGACTGTCCCTGCAGTTGGCAGGACTGCACCCTTGGGCCCCACAGCCCAGACACTGGGGCAGCCACAGCTCAGCAGTAACCATCACAGCTTTGTGTAAGAGCAGCTTGCCTCACAAGCACAAAGGCAGACAGGCGGTGCTGGTGGTGCATGACACCACGATGCTCCATCAGAGGCACACGGGCACTGAATACCATTGCACACAATCTGTGTCTATGCTGGCTGCACGTATTTCTGGATTCAACATACACTCAAAATGTCACTCATGAAAGGAACTATGTTATAACAGAAATGTGTTATCACTGCACTGCTGCCCTCCTCTGCTGTCAGAGTGGGCTACACTAAGTAGCACAGATAACATGGTGATAACCCTGCTTCAGCTATCGTGCCACATGGCAGGCTGTGCGCAACAGAAAAGCCAGAGCTGTTACTGCAGAAATCCCGCCTAAGGAACAGGTGTATCTTTCTGACAGGGGTGTCCAGGATGACTGTATGCAGTACCTGAATAGAAAGCAGCACTGAATGCATAGATGCACATTCCCCAGCAGCCCATGGTGACCCCAGCGTTGTACTTCTGATACTCAACTGAGTTGTGAGGGGCTTTTGGATTCCCTTCAAACACTACTTCTCCCATGAAGTCAGTGTAGAAGAGCAACATCCCCTCGAATGAGAGCCATCCTGAAAGAAGCCAGAAGTAATCCATTAGGACTGCAGATTACCATTCTCCTCTTGTAAGCCATGTACTACAATACAAATCACAAGTGGAAACAGTTCGTGCAATGTATTACATAACGTTTAGCCACATTTATCTGAGACTGCTGCTTCCTGTGCATTATGCTGTTTGTCAAGATGCTCATGATTTTAACTATCAAGATTTATCCTTTGAATTCACATATGGAATCCTATAGGCTTAATGCTGGCCATGGGCCACTGGCTTAGCAAGAAAGAAGAATCAATCACAGTCTGAACTGCCTGGCTAAGTTTCACATGGTTGCTCATTAGATATTAGTTCCAGATGCTGTTGTCATCCTGCATTTGGCTACAGGCACTCCTGTAGCACTGCATTCTATGCACTCTCACAGCCTGTTCTGTTGCCTCTATACACATGGTGTCAAAGGGAGAAAAGTGAACGCTCATCTCAAACATAAGCAGGGAAACACAAATAATCTTCTAGAGTTCTGCTCAGCAACTTCAGATTCAGAGCATTAAAAACCCACGTTGTTGCAATTTGAAGTTATTGGTTCAGTGTTGTTCCTCATTCTAGCATAAACGCTCCATTTAACAGATGCACTAATCTAAACCAAAGTTATTCCTTTTCTAAGCACGTCAATTTTACAGTTCTAGGGTTTTTTTTTCCATCGTTTTTTTCCCCACATTCTAAGACAATAAACAACGAAGTACCTTACTGATGAATGCATACGGAACAAATTACGTTCTCTTCAGTTTGCAGCCATTGCAGCAATAAAATACTTACAATCACACAACATAAACCACCTCATGGTGAAAACTAGAATGAACTTTCTCATTACCTAGGAAGTGGTTGATGCAGAGGTTACGAAGAGCCCTGGGCATGTGGCAGATGGTTGAGCAAAGAAGTCTCATGGAGAGTGGTTGCTCGGAGGTCTCACCTGATCCATTCAACTCACTCTCATAC